GTATATATAGTATTATTATCACTATATGCGCTTTTCAGAAAAACTGTTCTACAAAATGCATAAGAAAACCGAAAAAAGGCCCATCTCGAAAGGAAGCCCATCCAAAGTTCGCACAAGAAAGAGGGCCCCAATTCGAGGCTTCACGGTAGTAAAAGAATTACAATATTTATTCAAATAAATGCCCTGCTTTGAACAAATGCCCACTCTAGAGTATCATGTGGAAGAAGCGCCTCCCTCGATTGTGCAATTAACACATTTTGACGGTAATTATGCATCATAGTTCCCCATCTACAGTGAAATTAAGGGGTGCTTATTTGAGTATACTGTATACGTATTTACTTTACACCAAAATAAAGTATAACTTCCCCTAAAAAACAATTCTCAACAATAAACACCCCAAAATGTTTATTTGAATATACAGTATGCAAGATCAATCAATAATTAAAAAAGACAGGTCATAAAAAATATTTTGTTGACTGTCTTTTAGGATATTAATATAATATTAAACCAGATTGACTGAAAAATAGAGTGTAGCATAGAAATCTGTAATAGAAACAGAGAATAATAATATTATGTGTTTTTTTTTTTTATATTTAAAAAATTTGGGAAAAAAGTGTAAAAAATTCATCAAATGTAAACATACTTTTAGCATTTTGGCAGCTCTTTCCTGTTCTTCTTCCAGTTTAGCTTTTGCTTGTTCCAATGTGAAGCACTCGTAATCAAAATATTCGGGGTCCTTTTCTTTGTCAATGGCTGGTTCTAGTTCATCGTCGTTATTTTCACCGTAATAATCATCGTCGTCTTCATCTTCTTCATATTCATCATCATAATCAGCCTCTTCCATTTTGTAGTTTTTATAATGTTACTTCTTTAACGAAATTATATACTTAGTCCTAAAAAAGAACAGAGAATGAAGTTAATACAAATATAGGAGCCGCTCTCTCCCTTTACGTTATACCAGTGGCAGAATCGAGGGGGGGGGGGTGAGAATTTCATTGTGCCTCTGCACCCCCCTTATTGTTCAATTGAGAAAAATTCAATTAATGAAAATATGGCAAAGTAAAGTTACGTCAGACCTTAACAACCAATTATAGTGTAGTCTTTGCGATCGTTATGCTTCGTCGTCAGGTTCATTGGATACTCTTTCAAAATCCTTGGTGCACCCACTGTATACAGCCAGAGAGGCCTGTTTTTTTTACCGGTATAGTAGATATCCAGGTTCATAAACAGAAGGTTTCATAACCAAAACTCAACATTAAAAATCTAAATGACCTTGTAACTTACTGTAAACTCTCACTGTAAATTTAATCAATTCAGAATCAGATATCCTTGACTATTACACTTGATGTATAGTTGTATAGTAAAACAGGATTATGATCATTATTAGACTCATGCATCCAAATAACAGCCAAGGTTCCAGAGTAAAATTTCATGATAATTTACTCCAAGACCATTCATGAATAAGCTTTTCCTGAAGGGAACTATTTAATTATCTGGCTGAAATTAAAACAAGTCAAAAAATTTAAAATGTCACAGAACAAATAATATGAATTATCATAACGAAATTATTTTCTTGATACAATATTACAGCCAGCCAACTACAGTAAAAAGATCTCGAATTGAAGCCCAGTGGGCTTAATCTCCAGATGAAGCCCATCTCGAATTGAAGCCCCCTCTTTAGTTTGCAAAATTAGCCTTAAAAGAAGCTCATGGCTTCTTTTCAAAATAGCATAGGCTCTTTTCAAGATAGTACAGTACATACACTGTACATGAATTTCAGAAAACAAAATAAACTAAATACAAGCTTGGTTTACACAGTAGTTTAGGTGATTTAATGTCAGTTAAATACACTCCAAGATACAGATTGATGTTATTTGTACAAATTCACAAAATTTACGGCACTCATTTTCAAAAGAAGCCCTCCCTCTTTACTTTGCAAAAGTAACCTCGAAAAGAAGACCGTCTAAAATTCACAAAATAAAAGGAGCCCAGGAGCTTCAATTCAAAGTTTTATGGTATTTCAATTGTTCTATAACAAAATGCACTAAAGCTCTGTCCAAATTTCTTTGACAATAAACTACTGTACGACCATATATAGTCATGAAATACCTATATATGGTCATGATGTGATGTCATCATGACCATATTAAGGCATAAATGTTTTTTAAAAATCAAATTTGATAGTCTGACAAGAACTTGAATGACTTTATCAATGATGTTGCATACAAAAAGACTTTTTGAGTGTTGCACACATTGAAGAAAAAAACTTATGTTTTTAAAATATTGGGGTATATATCAATGGATTTTTTTACCACAGAAGAAATGAAATTTGCATAAAAAATTTGAGTCATACATCCCAATCGATCATTTCTCACTAACCAACAAATTCGTCCAGGCTATCAAAAAAAAAAAAAAAAAAGTTTAAAACGTACAACTTACGGTTAAGGTTGAAGTTAAAGTGGTAGTGTAGGGGTGTATCCAAAATTTTTTCTGGGTGGGTCATTATCATAGTTTTTTGGACCTTTTCTCAATGCTTTTTCATTTATGTTATTGTGATGAAAAGGCCATAGGGCCTGTTTCTACTGACAAAATACAAAAGTACTGTATTCAGTGAAACCGGTTTTCATAATTGTTTATAAACAAAAACCGCATTGCATTTTAATTTTAACACGAATAGAAACCGGTTTCTCCTAAGGAGGTCGTTGTGCAATGACGTCATTTTTACCCACAGCGAGTTCGTTAGGCGAACTAGCTAGCCGGCTAGCCTCCCCTTCATCTTTTCCTCCAACTACAGATTAATCACTAGTCTTGTGATGGCGTCGGTCCAAATTACGCCCGAAATTACTGGTACGTTTTCTAAATCAAAAAATTAAAATACACACTTCGCGCCAAGATGAGAGTTGTTTATGTTCCGAGTACCATTTGACAGCTTGCTAGGTTAGGTCAACTTGTGGTCAAACTGAGACCGCTATTGCGTTGCAGCTAAAAATTGCTCGGTGAATACGGGTTTGAGTACGGTATTTGGCGATCGAGACCAGATTCAATTGGGGTTTTCAAAACCGGTATTTGAATTCAGGTTTTTTTTTATGGGACAAGAAAATATGGATCTTTGAGAATACTGGTCTTGAAACCGGAATTCTATCCTCAGCAGAACAGGCCCATAGAGGAAATGGGAAAAATGTGAACCTTTGAAAATTTGGGGGGGGGGGGCGTACAATCTTCCCGACCCCGACTCTCCCCCCACCACCCTTGCATACACAGATGTAGTGGGGGGATCCAATAGTAGGCTGTCACATACAAATGTAAAATTATTATTAAACTTGTCTTACTCTTATTATTTAAAAAAAAAAATAAAATATTAATTGGGAGAAATTATAATATGTATGTAGGAACTTGAATGCAGGAATACGTCTTGATTGAAGAATGCATCTACATGCATTTTCTACACTCATTATTTTCAAATGTGCCACACAAAATTTTAGTGGCACAACAGAGACCATCATCCATACTATTACTAGCATTCATGATTCAGCAATCAGTGACGACGAATCTTGCATCACTCACAGCAGCTTCTCGTCTTGATTGTGAGCCTTCTCTACTACTACTACTACTAGGCCTAGGCCTCTCTAGCCAGTAGGCCTAGAAGTAGGATAGGCCTTACTAACCACATTTTACACGAACGCGTTTAGAATTTATTTAGAGATTCAAACCAACTATCTTTACAATAAAATGGGTACTTATATTGCTAATGTATCTAACTCTCAAAGTAAGAGCACATTTCATATCAAATACCTTTGAAAATCCTGTTTTTTGTCACGGAAACCCAATCCACCCTTGTTTACAATCGTCTTTATGTATGTGAACTGACCAAGGAAATGACATCATAGGTTAAAGGTCGCAGAACCACAGCCCATTCATGCATGCTTGTTGTCTGTCTTGTTATCAGCTTTGATTTGAGAGGTAACTGCATGACTTCAGTCAACAAAGTTCTGAACTTTTTTACATGGTTCGTTTATGGTATGCATTAAATTGTAGTTAATTTATTGCGAATTAAAAAAATATTAATTTTCAGTTGCTTTGGTATTGTATAAAGTCTAGGGCAGGAGGCCTAGGTAGGCCTACTAGGCCTATCTCTAGCCTAGAAGTAGTAGGCTAGGCAGGGCCTAAGTAAGCTACCTATCCTAGGCCTAGCCAGCCTAGCCTACTACTTGGGGTTTCTGGACAAAACGGCAATAAACCAAAACGGCAATGACCAAAACGGCAAAAAAACCAAAACGACAACACTTTTTGACCACAACGGCAATAATACAATAAGTGACTATGCCCTAGGCCTACAGTAAGTAAAAATGGCAAAGAATAAGACGATGCTAAACAATATGTCATAAAAGTAAAAATGCGAAAAAATAAACTGATTATAAACATGAAAAAAGTGATTAAATACAGTAAAAATTAGCCTAAGTAGCAGCAGCAGCAGCAATAGCATCATTAATAATTAATGATAATAGTAAATAATAATAATAATTCAATATTAAAAAGGTTGGGGGGGGGGAACAATATAAAGTAAAACATTTATTAACAAATAAAACTTTCAAATACAGACAAAATGAGGCTAAACAGTTTGTGTCATAAAAATAAAAAAATGCGAAATAATAATCATACTAAACATTAAAAGTGGGAAAAAGAACCCATGGCAATATTCGATTTGCCTATCGGGAAAAGTTTAAAACGATTCAGAAAATTCTAAACTACGGCCCACTCCCGGTGGCGCTTGCTACAGTAGTCTTTTCATTGATTTAGCTCCTTTGCCATTTTGTATGCCATTTTGGGCTGTTGCCGTTTTAGTACGTGTCATTGCCGTTTTGGTTCATTGCCGTTTTAGTTATTGCCGTTTTGGTCATTGCCATTTTGGTTTATTGTCGTTTTGACCTGCTAACCTACTAGGCCCAGGCTAGCTAGGGCCCTCTAGGCTCTACTTGGCTTACTACTACTGTACTTACTAGTAGGAGTAGGCCTAGTCTAGCACTACTGTACAGTACTAGCTAGGGACCTACCTATGCTAGCCATCGCATTATTGAAAGTGCTCAATTTTTTTTGTAAGGCATCATTTTAAGACTACTAATCTCTCTCCCTCCATACAACCGTACTTATGCACTTACGCACATTAGAGCCATTAGATTCATACTGTAATTTCAAAAATGCGATATTTATGTAGAGTATAAACTGAGTATGCTAAAATCAGTTTTCCAATTTTATGAAATTGGTAATCCTCTCCTTTAAGATTGACTATCCAGTTATTTTCTTACAGATATGGACATTTTTCAAAAGATCCTGCTGATAACCTGAGTCAAGTAATTTACAAGCCATCCTAACAGCATAATGCTATAATGTTTACAGCAATTTACAAAACTGTTCAAAATGCTTTATCGTCTGACTTGCCAACACACGATGATGATTCTACCGACGGCAGCCGAAGTGACTCCGACATACCTTCATATCCAGCGCTACAAAGCTCTTACGATGATAGTAGTAGTGAATTTGAAGCTGCAGATGTTGAAGTTAAGAATATCAATGGCAAGGTTACTAAACTTCTGAGTGGATATGGCTTAATTGATGAGGAAATATATTTCTCGTTTGATAGCGTGGTGGCTCAGTTCAGGCCTAAAGTAGGAGATCGAGTTAGTGCTATTGTTTATCGCGACCGAAAGGGGTGTGGATGGAGAGCGAAACAAGTAAATGTAGAATCCAAAGAGTGGGGTATTGACAACGATGATGGACCGGAAGATATGATTGGAATAATAACAAAAGCAACGAGAATAGAAACCGTTATTAACGACGTGCTTCAATGCACCCACGACTCTATTGTTCAGGGTTATCGGCCTTATAGTGGTGATTGGGTCCAAGCATGCACATACAAAGATCGAGAGACGGGGACCACCTTGGTAAAAGACGTGCATCCCCTACGTGAACTGAAGATATACGGGACGATCACACATGTATATGTTGGCTACGGCTTTATCGATGATAGAACGTACTTCGCATTTTCAGCATGCGAGTGCGGATATGCTCCACACAAAGGGGACAGGGTAGTTGCACATTGCATTGAGTCTAAACAGAAGCGTGGAAATTGGCGAGCAATTAGTGTAGAATTGAAAAGAGAAAAACAGTTACCTAGGTAAATTTTAATAGGATACTTCCAATTGTTTTCCCATAGTACACAAATATTCCAACCCTCCCGATTCCATCGGGAGTCTCCCAAGTTATCATCTCCTGGTCTACTTGATTTTGTCAAATTTTCAGGAATATTCAGAATGGAACGCTTACCAAAAACGGCAAATTTTGCGACTTTTTGGTACCAATAATTGAGTATAAATAATAAAGTTAACTTTATACAGATTTTATCAATAATATTGGCATACAAAGACTTTCCGAGTGTTACAGACAGACCTCGGTAGATGAGAATGCATCCATGAAAACAACTTTTTGTTGAGGGTGGGGGGGGGGTGGGATGGTTGGGAGTCAACATTTCAGTGGTGGGCATACACTTTACCAGTGCACCTCCAGTCGTCCGAATTTTGAGTTCCAGCGGAGATGAATGTCGAAGTACATATTCATCCAAATTTGACCCAAGTTTTCACTCTGTTAAATAAAAGAAAAATTGCAAAAGAAGTATTAAAGAAAAGACAAATTGCTTCATTATTCCTACAATCAGACTTAGTTATTTTAAATATTTTTTACACAAAATAATAATGAAAATATATTATACTACACCGGAATGCTGTTTGCAAGAATGCATTTAATTACAATTTATCTAATCCATAGTAAAATCAATAAAATCAAGTCAAATCAAATTCAAAATTTATGTTTTGTTTTGTCTGCTTCCAGACCAGAAGACCTTGTGGTTGGTCCACTGCAGCTGATAAAGGCGGACCTTATGAAAGACAAATGTGGCATAATGATTACCGACAAATTAGACTTTGGTGTGGTTATAACCGGAAAAACTAAGAAAATCAACTTCTGGATTCGGTAACTGTTTATTCTACTATGTTATGTGAATTTTTAAATATATGTATAGTAATGCAGTTAAAAATTGTTTATAAACAACATTGCAATGATGTGCTCTAGAAATATCCTTAGGGGAGAAGTCAGAGCTACAGGGTGGTCCACATCTCAAGCACTTTGAGAGCCTTTTGGTATAATGCTCCATATACATCTAACTACATTACATTTTGGATTGTCCTAATATTGAGTAAGGTTCTGGAAAAAAAAACCCAAAATCAGCTGTACTCTATATACAGTGTCACTTTGAAATATAATTGGCTTGAGAGTGTGCTTGACAGGTACTTGGTCCTGGGTTCAAATCTTTCATAATGATACAAAAGTACATCCATTTCTATCCCATAATAGACCTTTCCAAACTTAACAACTGACCAATCGGAACAAGGCCAAGAATGTGTACATGTCCTACAAATGCACGTATTGTCCCACAAACGTACGTATTGGTATTGTCCCACAAACGCACATATGTACAAACGCACATATGTATGCTATTGTTTTGTGGACCTTAGCAACAAAATGCAATGGGCCAGGCTTAGCAAAAAGGTACATTTGCAAGTGTACTCAATTTTCCTTCAAAACATAAATTGCAAAAATATTTATAACATTCTTTTCTGTTTTCACATAAGTAATGTTGGCATTGGACTTCAAGTCCTGAAAAACGTCAGTGTCTGCAATCTGCATTCTGAGATCACCATCGATTTTCCCGGAGTTACTAAAAAGGATGAAAACAAGAAGGATGGAAAGAAAACGGAAGAGGATGATCCACCTCCTCCCTTTTCCTCTTTGACGATCCTCCCGGGATGTGCTTCACAGGGCACCATCACAGTGAAAACACAGTAAGTAATAGTACTTTTACACTGGCTTACTGGTGTAAAGTTTGGCACTCACTGCACTGACATGATTCTATGGAGAACAACGCCAAGACACCCGCTCGCGCAACCGATTGTTTTCAATTCCGATCTGCTCGGACTGCCACCAACAACCAGCAGATGGCATCGTGGCGGCCAACGCTGACAGGGAGAGGAGCTGGATTCGTCAGCCGACGATCGTACGAACGTCGTAGAATCCAGTCAGTGCCTGGTCTTACATGGGCATGAGAAAGAAAGGAATTTCCACTTACATTAGGCCAATGCGGGATGATCTCATTAATAAACATGGACATTGAAAATGTAAAGAAAATAATCTTGTATATTTTTTATATGTCATGACAGTCACCAATAAACTTGGGTCATGTGATTTTTAGCAGGAGTTGAGTGGCCAAGCAGTAAGGCAGGGGTACTGCTAACTACAGCCTGACATCAGCACTGGTTTTTTATTTTGTGTCCTAAAATGTATTATTTTTTATTTCACTCACTCTTTTGTTCACACATAAATTGTCCGTTCTTTAAGAAATTTAGGCAAGTTTCGTGAACTTGTGACCTTTGACTTTGGGAGTTTTGAAATTGGTCGCCATGTCTACATGGAAGTCCTAGACGAGATGATTAAACTGTTAAAGTCGTCCCAGGAAGACTCAACTCACAGACGAGGAAGTTTATTACAGAAATACAAAGATCAATATTTTCATTCACAAACTGGAATGTCGGTGCTTGGAGTGAAGCCAACAAGGTAAGTATGAACTACATCTTTCATGTTTATTCGTATGTTTGTCTTGTTATAAATTCTGGAATCTTCTGCATGGGTCCCAAGTTAGAAGAATTTACTTCTGGGAGATCTTGTTGAATGAGCATCTGAAGTTCAGTATCAATAGAATCGCTCATTCTATAGCCGACAGTCGCCGACAGTTGTCGGGAAGGTTGCACCTGGTTCAACTTTGCAATCGCCCTGCCCTGACGCAATCGTCCACCCCGATCTGTCTGCAACGCAGTCGGCAAAATCCGAACCAGGTTCAACCTCCCCAACGACTGTCAGCGACCGTCGCCAGTAGGATGAGCGATTCTATGGAAACCGAGCTTCAACACCTCTTAACATTATTTTGCTGTACATGGCAATACCCAAGTGGTAAAACATTCAAATATTATAAATCATGGAAGATGGGTTATTTTCTTACTTGGTTGCAGTAGTGCGGAAGACTTCGATTTTCAGGAGACTCCCGCAACTGCGGAAGAATTGGGACCCCTGCTGTTGTCAGAATTGACAATAAAATCTCATTTAAATAGATAAAATAAAATTTGTAAAATATATGTTAAAATCTCAATGATATTATGGAAAATTGAGAATGAAGATGATAATGGCACCATTGGCAGCAGTAGCAACAGGCTGAAGGACCCATATCTAGCAGCTTGTTTTTATCTAGCTTGCCACTCAAAATGAAGAGTGCAAAACAACATTAGCGGTTAATATTTCATTAGAGATTGATTACTACATTAGTGGATGATACATGAGCTCTCTTGTAACTCCAAATCATGGGTCCAACAGCCATAAAAAAATTAACTTGCACCCCACCCTAAATCTGCTTCTGAAATTTCATAAATACAAAGGTAGATAATTAATAGACAATATCTTTTTTAAGGACAAGTAATTGGAATACTCCCGTGAAGTTGAAAAAGCATCCTGTACCTGATGAGTTAGTTCAATGTGTCCTGGAAAAACGAGAACTCGCCTCATTCATTCCAGAGCTTCTACAGGTAAATGTGTGTTTTTCTTAGTTTTTATTAAAACGATTTGCATTTAATTGGAATAGTTTCCTGAATATTATAAGCGCGCATAAGCTTTTTGAATAACATTATTATATGAATATCATACATCAAAGAGCTTACAATTTCAAGAGGTCCAACTGTCCTTATTTTGTAATGAAACGTTAAAAAATACTACCACTCTATTAGAATTTTAATCAAGTTCGAAACTTGAACACGCATTCTATAGACGTGCAGCACACGCTCGATACAAACACCTTTTACGTTCTTACAGTATGAAGAATGCCCTCTAGTTTGTGGTAGTACTCTTCAAGATAGGATTGCGTTCCAATGAAACCCTGACTTCTTGCAGTTATGCTCTTTGATTGAATTATCATTTTCTTTTCCACATAATTCCCTTGCACTAAAACCTTCAGCTGTACAATAGGTTATAGAAATGCAAGAGTTTAATGGGCGAGTTGAGTGGTCGTATGGTAAAGCATAGGCGCTGCTAACTACAGACTTCACATCGGTGCTCGTTCGATTCTGTCCTCGTCCAGGGTTGGGTTGGTAGAACCTAGGCATCTCGCATAAGGATGTAAGTGTATACATCTGGCTCGTGTGCACTTTAAATAAAATTTTGCATCTTTTGGTGCTGATGTTATAGTTCATTTCAGCCCCTGTCATTCCGTAATGATGTAAACATGAAGCTACTATAAGCGCAGCTCTGTGGCGGTTAGGCAGTCACTAACGACGCCCTTACGCAATTCAGCACAATAGCGCTGCTGCAAGGTATGGGTTATTCTTCTACTTTTACCTACCTTTATTGAGTACTGTATATTTAAGTGAACAAAATGTTTATATTTTACAGTCATTGTGCATTGAAAACTATTTTACAAGGTTCTCAACTTTACTTCATTTAGAGGAAATTAAGATGGAAATTGACATCAGAAAATATGACCTAGAAAGGGTTAGTAAATATTCAACATAAAATCTTTACTCATTGTATTTGAAATTTTTATGGTCTGGTTTACCTTTTCTGATTGGTTTATAAATACTGACTGTCTGACTGTTGTTATACATTTTTTGCTCTCAATAGTTTTTGTAGATATTTTGAGAAAGAAAATCTTAGAAGGTTTGGGGTTAATTCTCTCTCTCATTTTCTTTCAGGAGAGCTTGCGAAATCGTGGGGAATACTTGGTTATGAGTGTGGATGGTCTTGCTGAAGGACGACCGTCTGTTCTTGTAGGGGATAGAATAATCTTGACACCCATTGATGCCCCATCAAACACTGTGAAGTATGAGGGATATGTACATGAGGTATGGAGTCATCATTCTGTATGTGCATAAGCTTTGACCTCTCACACATGCAATGACTTGTCGAGAACATTGTCGCTCAGACGGAATTGTACTCTTTGGAGAGTAAAAAAGTTGTAGAAACGAGTTCTTTTAAACGTCTCTCAACTGCAATGAAAAGGCACTATATAAATTAAACGCAGTAAACAAGGGGTATGAAGATTCATCTAAGTAGCGATTGGTTAGATAGAGGGGGATCCAAGGTTTTCAATAGGCACCTAAAAACATACATGCAATGGCTTCCAACAGTTCAGTCAACTGAAGCAGCTTAGCGCAGTCGGCTAATCTGGTGGTAGCCGCTGTGTGTGTGCGCTGAACCGTGGAGATCTCTAGGTCCCCAGTTCAATTCCCATCTCTGCCTCTCCTTGTGTTTCAGATAGAGGGCTGAAATACCGCACCGTCTTTCGGATGAGACGTTTCAGCCGTTGGTCCCGTGTGCATTATAGCCCATGTGCACGTTAAAGAACGCAGTACACTCTTTGGAAAAGAGTAGGGGATTGTCTCTCGGTGTACTGCCCAATCACCACCAGAAGGACCCCACCGGAAATAAGTCTTCTTCTAGACTTTCGTGGGCTATCCTTGGTGTTTACACTGAAGAAATCCAACTGAGCCATCCTGCTGAAAATATCTAATGCATTGTTATCATTTATGACTGGCTCTCGCAAAACCAGCCATTTGTAGCAAAAATTAAAAATTGTGTTTTTGGTGTTGTTAGACTCTGCATGAATTCTTCATTAAAACAGTGTTAATTTGATGGAAATTGATTGAGTATTAGCAAAGTTATGAATATGTAATTCATTGAATATCAGCCATGTAGGTTTTGAGAAAGCAGCTTCCATAAGATTCCAAAATCAATAATATATTAGTAAGATTTGTATTTTCAAGATAATTTTAATATACTTTTCAGTTAGAATTTGTTACTGATATTTTACAGAAATGTTTTTCAATATATCTTCTTTTATAAAATTAATAAACCTGAAAATGTTCAAAATTCGGATTTTCGAACAATTGGAGTGCTTGTGGGAAATATAAAATTGCGACAAATGGTGAATTTTGAGTATTATACATTTATTGTACTTTTTCTAAAGGTATATGGAGAGGAAGTGCTTTTAAAATTCCATCCATCGTTTCATGACAACTATGTAGCAGAGGAGTACCACATATCTTTCACATTTAGCAAGTAAGTTGGTATAATGCCCCATGGCTTTGTTGTTAACCCTTTTACATCCAACTTCTGTCGTTCAGCCAAGTAACCAAAAGGTCAACTTGGTGTTTGAAAAACTAAATGATATGCATTTTTATGACTACAAATTAACAAGTGAGCTTTTTGACTCTAGATGAAAAAAAAATGCTTTGTCCTTCAAACAAAAAATAGGATTTGCCACCTCTTGAATTAGGTTGAATATTGACATCTGATATGGCGGTTATGGATAAATTTTCTTTTTACCTTAATACACCATATTTACCTCCCCCCTCCCCAAAAAAAAAAAAAAAAAAAAAAAAATTCTATAGTCAAGAGTCAAGAATACTAGAAATTGTTTGGAAGTAAATTGAATATTTTTAATATTTTTGGCCATAAGACTCAAGCATTTGGCTATTTCTTGCCATTGTGTAGCTCATATCATATTGTACTGTCTCTCTACTTTGTGAAGATTCCCCATACAAGATTACATCATAGGTTGATCACATTATTAACAACACTGTTGAAGGAGCAGACGACTATATATTATTAACAATATTCATTGCTTTATTATTGTTTCATATTTCAGGACAGTTCTGCAGCGCTGCCACCAAGCAGCAGATATGGCTGTTATCATGGGTAACAGAAGTGAGTACACTTTTAATTTTATCACTCCAATATGATTTACTACTAGCAATATAATTCCCTTTGCTACTTAATTTTACTAATGCCATAAGGGGTTTATGAAACCCATCTGATTAAATCGACACCAGTTCTCCTCAGGCTTAACCTGCACTCAAACTGTATTTAAATAGTGACGGTTCGCATGCTCATCCAGTGATGATGCCATGTATCTGTAATCTTTGCCCTTCAATGAAAAAATATATTGGGCACTATTATTGATAAATTTAATCATTACAAGCCTATCAAAATTTATTTTATCAATTTTATTTTCAGTTTTATTTCCAACGGCAAAAGTAATTGGAGTGAAACCACCGCAAATCAGCATAACTTTCCCAGAGTCGCAACCACCTATTAAGCCCACCTTCAAGAAACCAATGATCATCCCTCGTGTTGCTGCTCCAGCTCGGGCTAGACGAGGAGTTGTGCCGCATCAAAACTACCTGCCGAGAAAATCACATTCTGGTGGTTGTCAGTTCATTGTTCCCAAGGCAGCAACAAGTGCTGTGCAGCCAGGTTCAAAGAGAGGAGATGGTAAAGTGAGTAATTTCATCCGGGTTAATAATTGATAAAATTCTTTCGTCTAATTAGTGAGTGCACAAGCTTTTGGATGGGAGTAGTAGACAAAATCAGTGCTGCCGAACTAGTATTGGTGACGTGATGTAGAGTGTGATGTCTGTAAAAATATAGGGAAAGGAAGCTTTTAACTGGATTTAAAACAACTCTACTAATAATTTATGAAATAAATGCCAAAGGCATTATTATTCTTTAAAGTAATTTTTTTAAAACTCATTCTAGTGTTTGCTGTGCATTTAGGCCTTAGAATTCATGTAACCCCTTTGTGAGTTTTTAGCTAGATTTTGTGTACTTGTATTCTTTATTTTAAGTGGATCAAAGACTCCCACGTACCTAATCTTTTAAGAAATATGCAGGAGCCTAGGCCTAATATACTTGATAAACCTCAAAAGTTATTAGGCCATTTTAGATTGTAATAGTAAAACATGGTGTGCCTTACCATACAGAAACACTCCAAAGAATAATTGCATTTTCCTATATAGAGTTTTGCTAACTCTGTCTGTTTATAATTTTTCCCAATTTTAGGTCTCATAGTTAGAATATTTTAAGTGTGCTGTATTTTTTCGATATAGGCTGTTGGCGAATACTTTGATAAGAAGTTAAATGCTCGTCAGAAAATAGCTGTTTTCAGAATTCTTCAGGGACAGACAAGACCCACACCCTACATTTTGTTTGGACCACCAGGTTAGTTTCCATTGTAAATGTTAAAATTTTGTTTTTTGGATAATAAAGAAAGTTGAGAGACAGAATTCTGGCATGCAAAGCAATAAAGAACAACTTAATATTGAATAATTGATAAATGTACCTTAATTGAATTATACTTTTTTTAGGAACTGGTAAAACAGTGACAGTTGTGGAGTCTATTTTACAGGTTCACCACCATGTCAAAAGCAGTCGTGTCCTGGCCTGTACGCCATCAAATAGTGCTGCAGATCTTCTTGTAGGTAGCCATACTGTAGCTTGTAGGCAAACTTAAATTAGAAAATTACACCTATGGACTTAGAAGATGACTCTAAGCAATTATTGATCAAACTGTTTGTTTTTGATTTAGTTCATGCTCAGTGGTGGTGGCAAGATGTTCCCGTTGGGGGTCTTATATCTCTGACGGGGTTGGGGGGGTGCCCAATATTACTGACAAGAGCAAAATGGTTTTCATCGGCATTGCTCAAAATGTTTAAAAATGGTGTAGGTGGTGAATCCCAAGAAAAATATGACAATTTGTGGGTTTCAAATGCTTATTTAATCGATTTTAGAGTCTACTAACAAATAGAAATTTTTTTATTCCCTC